CCACGATGGGGAACGAATGGTGCCCTGCGATCTGTTCTCGTCCTCTACCGCTTCCCGTTGTCATCGTGCTACGGTACTTTGATCCGTGCTATATGCATGTAATCCGCCGCCGTGCCGATGGCACTGATGGGAGTGCCATCAAGGTTTTCTGGTGGGCAAATTTTCCACCACCGCTACCACAGGTAGGAGACAGAGAGGAGGAGGAGGAGGAGGAGGAGGAGGAGGAGGAGGAGCAGGAGGAGGAGTTCCCCAAAGGTTTTGGCCTGAGCGCGCGCGCGAGGGCACACCCGAGCTTTGAACCCTTCTGCCCTCGCAGGTCTAACTTCAAGCGAGCACATTTGCCGCGCAGATCTCTGCGCGTCCCTCCCTTTGCTGCTACGAGCGCGACAGGTCCTTCCGAGGAGACCTGGCACCGTGCTGCCAGGCGCAGACGCTCGTGGGCCAGGCCTCTCGCCAGGCTTGGCAAGGCAGCAGAGCTACTGGGAGCGCTTCATTCGTCACCGAGAGGATTGGTGGATTCCATGGGCTGGCGAGATGGTTCCCGAGGCGCCGCTGCGCGTGCTGCAGGAACTTCGGGCGCACCTCGCTACACCCTATGGCGTCCTAGCGAACATGCTGCGGCGCCGTGGCGAACGTCGCAGCAACAACCTGGACGAGGCAAAGGTAGCAAAGGTAAAAGCAAAGCGCAGCCGTGGACTGATGATTGGGAATGGGACTCGTGGGAAGCTGGGCACCAGTTGCCTTCAGTGCCAGAACCAAAGTGGACATGTGGACTCTGCGGCTGCGGTAAGAATACGTATAGCACGGACAATTGTAAGCACTGCCACCAAACACGTACCGAGGCGGCCGCAAATATCAAGCAGTTGGCACTTTGCGATGGCCCGTCTCCTCCTCCTGTCAGTATTCTTAGGCAGCGGTCAGCCACGCCACCAGCGCATGGAGACCCCGCTGCAGCAGCAGGTCGAGAGCAGAGTCGTGGCCGCGGTGCCCGTGCTCGACAATTCAGTTTCGAAGGAGATCGACGTGCGCCAACGGTCAGTGTACTGGAGCTGCAGCAGCTCACTGGTGTCTAGGAGAAATCAGGAGATGAAGAAGGAGCTGCGAAGTACCGTATGCAACTCCAACGGTTACAATCAGAGCAAGTGGCACCTCCAGCACAAGAGCGAGCATCAAAGGTTCATGCACGCATTCACAGGTTGGAGGCCACACTCACCGATGAGCTTGACAAGCTGGAGCGGCTGGAGAGACAAGCTGAGCCGCAGAGAAATGTCGTGCGTGAAGTTCAGTCGGCACTCAATGATTCGGATGAGGAGTATCGCAAGCTGGTCGCTGAAATCGCCCGAGCTGCTGGTGGCTTTCACGTGGAGAAGGAAGCAGCAGCCCCAGTCAAGATACCAATTGACAAAGTGGTCGATGGCACGGCAGCTGCGACGGACCTGTTCGACATTGACAGCCTGTTCAAGGACGTGTGTGACTATGAACTCACACCTGAGGACTCTGCGCAGCTTGAACGTCGCAAAGTGGCGCTCAACGCTCAAGTTCAAGGCATTACCAAAGAGCTGTTCCAGATAGCGTTGGAGGACATCAATCGCATTCGGGCAGAGCATCAGGAGCATCCGGGGCGACTCCAGCGCAAGCGGCAGCGGGTCGATGCGCCAGCCGAACAACTTGCAGAGCCTGCTGAGCGCCCGTCGCCCGGGGCCCCGCAGCCAGCTAGCGCAGGCGAGGCTGGAGGCGCTGGCTCAGTGCAAGGTGCCGACGGTTCGCCCGCATCCCAAGCCGCTGCCGCCCCAGCTGAGTCCAAGGGACCCTCGGCGTCTGGACCCCTGTCTGTATCCTCGGGCTCGGTTGCATCCCAGGGAGGGGGCGGCAGCGGTGCTCGAGCTGCCTCTGGCGTGCGTCAGAGAGCCGAGGCAGCCCTCCGTGGAAGCACTGATGGATTTTGCGAAGTTGACGTTTCTGGAGCGTTCCTGCCCCCAGGAAGCGCCTGATTCCCCCCTGGCCGCCAGCGGCGTCCAGGGGGGAGCTCTCACAGGTAAGGTTTCACACGCTCATGGGAGCTGGAGGCCCCCAGGAGGTCGACAGTAGGATCTGCTGCCCCCCGCTGTGCTCGTTGCGGTGGGGCGATGGCGGCCCCCATTCTCGATCTCGGTCGACTTGTCCAGATATCTGTCTGAGGTCTCGGGGGGCTGGTTCTTGGGCGAGGGGCCCCCTGGTTCCCGATTTCATCCCGATTCTGGTCGGTCCGATTTAGTGGTTGTTTCTGATAACGTTGTTTCTTCTAGTCTCCGTGGGCCCCCTGGGGGTTGCGTCTTGGGCATGGGGCCCTCGAGTATCCACCGGGGGCCTCACGTCGAGCCACTGAATGCTAATGTTTCTGAACCGTCTTCCATATTAAAACCTGTCCCCACACCGGTTTTCCAGCCCGCCGAAGTTAGGTCCAAGTCGGGTGGAACTCGTCGAGGCAAGGTGACATTCAAGCTCGAAACATGCAACACTACATCCTGGCGGTCTATGCTTCGGTATTTGGACAAGGAGACCGACGCGTCTGTGGCGATGCTGCAGAAGCTCACTCTTGAATCCAAAGACAGGGCCGACGGGGGGGCCAAAAGAAGAAAATCAGGCTGAAATGCCTGCCTCTACCCATCATTCGTCACTGAGGGTGGGGGTCTCAGCTCGGGAGTTGGGGTTGCTGCTCTCTCGCATACCAGCATGGGCAAGCTCCCCCCGCATAAAGGCCCCCCGAGTCCCCCGAGATGTTGCCTCACTTGGGTGAACGCGCTTATCCCTGGAGGATTCGTGGCAGGCAGTATTTACCTCCCGCAAGGTTCCCCGCTAGGAGAAGAAGGCACGCTCATTCTCGCTCGCGTGGCGAGCTGCTGCACTCGTACGGCATGCCCCTCATGTTGGCGGGTGATTGGCAGGTGGAGCCTAATGTATTAGCTGATTTTGGATGGCCTCAGAAAGTTGGGGGAATCATAGTCGCTCCAGATACGCCCACCTGCCGATCAACAGCGCGCCGATGGCGCACTATTGGCTACTTCGTGATTTCCAAAGGCTTAGGGCCATGCGTGGCCAGTTGCAATCGCAACGAGCAGGCCACGACGGCTCCCCACTGGCTTTCGACGCTCACTTTGAAGGGGGACCCGTTGGAGGCCAAGCGCTGGGTGGTCACCGAGCCAAAGGCCCTGCCCAAGGAGGCTCCTGTGGGCCCGCGCCCGAAAGCCCGAGATTATCAGCAGCACCTCGATGAGGGCCCAACCCAAGCTAGAGGCACTTCAGAAGATCTGGATTGGGCTTTCTTGGAGTTCTTGGCCACCTTCGAGTCGGAGTTGCTTGATATTTACCAGGTTCGCGATCAGCCCAAGTTCGGTGGTGGGTGCGAACAGCGAAAACTCAAGCAGGTCGATTCTCTTCGTGCGGCAGGGGGCCCGTTTCCACTCGGGTGCCCAGAAAGCAGAGGATGGCGAAAGGTTTCGATGTGGTTCCAGGAGCTGCACCACATCAAGCTGCGTTCTGAACCTTGGGGAGGAATTGAGACCACCAGGTTGATCGACCGTATCTTGGATGGCCCAGGCGCCCTGCGCAAGTCCCCCGACTGGTTGAGCTGGAAGCCGGCAGTCCGAGGGGATCTACTTTCTGTCTCCGCTGCTGCACTACATGAACGTTTCGTTGCAACAGGGCGCCGGGCCACACATCCCGAAAAGCGTTTCAGTTCTCAGCGAGGGGCCCAGCGGCGCAGCTGGGTCGCCGAATCAGCCAAGGCTGGGGCTGGACAGGCCCACCAGTACACCAGGACTCCGATGGCCTGACCCCCAACAAGTCTCTGGTCAAAGGCAGGGCCCCACCTGGCCCTGGAGGGGTCATGCAGGAGCAGACCGAGCTCTGGAAGGGCATCTGGAAACCAACTCAGGTAGCCACCCAGTACCCCGACCCCTTCGGGGAACTCGAACACCAGATCCAGAAGCATATTCTTGATGGCCGCGAGGCTTTCCCAGCTGCGAGGGCCGCGGAGGAGATCCGCAAGGCATCGCAGAAGTTTAAGCGCCGTGCTGGTCGCAGTGCAGATATGGTCCATCCTAGAGATGTTGGGCCAGCCTGCGACGATGCCCTCACGACGCGGGGTTTTCTTTTCAGCTGGGCAGAGATGATTTGACATTTACCATCGGCCATACCTCTCAACCTCATCGTCCTTCTTCCTCGGCCTGCTTCTGGTTTTCGTCCAATTGGTCTTCTTCCTGGGTGTTGTCGTATCTTTGGAAAACTGACCAGGGGGGGGCGGGCAGGTGGGAGGAAAGAGAAGCGATAGAGTATCATTATGGGTCTAAAGGGAGAAGCTGTGGGACAGCGGTATGGGAGCAAGCCATCGCGGGGGAGTTCACGGCAGGTCAAGGCATACCCTCGGCAGCTGCACTGGTTGACATTACCAAAGCATATGGAAAAAGTAATGCACTTTTGCTCGTGATGGCCGCGGCCCGACATGATTTTCCTTTGGTCAGACTGCGAATACTACTCAGGCAGTATCGTTGCCCACGCCTCTTGCAGAGTGGGCCCATGGTTTCGGCTGTAATTTGGGTGGAGCAAGGAATCATAGCAAGGTGCTCGTGGGCAACATCTTTGATGGAATTAATTCTTCTTGTTCCGTGCGACGCTGCAAGGCTGCATTGGCCCAGCGTTTCCATTTTCAACGTTGTCGGCGATTTAACTTTCTTCGGCTCAGCCACGACTGACAAGCTCGGAGGTCTGGCGGGCGCTGCCACCAGGTACGTGCGCACGCAATTGGAGAGGCTCCAGCTCATTGTTTCGAGGCGGAAAAGGGGTAATCGTGTCGTCGGACAACATCGTCGCCGCCGAGATTCGGAAGAAGCTCGGTAAGTAGGATTTTGGTATTAATAGCTCGTCCAAGAACCTTGGGGTCGACTTCGGTTTGAAAAAGAACAAGAGGGCCTCCAAGGTCCAACTCTCCAGGCTTCGGAAGCTTCGTCCTCGTGTTCGGCGTTATCGCGGACTTCGGAGCTCGTTCCGAGGTGCTGCTAAAGTCGTTCGCGTCGGAGCTCTGCCTGCTGCTATGTATGGCACACCTGTAATTGGTTTGTCGGACAAGAGAGTGGCCGAGCTCAGGGCCCAGATGGGCCAGGCCCTTTTCTGGACTCCGAAGGGCAGGTCTCGCACCCTCGAGTTCCTACTGGGCCCTGAGCCGCTGGCGGACCCCGAGTACCTGGCCAACTCTGGTCCGATCATATCTTGGGTTTTGGCATTGCAGTAGCCTTGGGTTCCTGAAAGGATCATGCGATCCTGTTTCGAGGCGTTCATGAGGCTCGAGAGCGTTTCTTGGCAGTACGTGCAGGGTCCTGCTGGTGCGGTTATCTGTACTTTGAATCGTTTGCGGTGGGGTATCGTCTCCTGGGACTCTTGGGTCACTGACGACGGCATCCCGATCAATCCCCGCGACTACGGCAAAAAGAACCTTCAGGTCCCTGATCAACTCCAGCACCCAAGAGGTCTCTGGCACAATGCCTGGGCGGGCCAGTCGGAAAGGTCGATGGTCTAACCGCAGGTCCCTGCCTCACGCCGCTTATTGAGTATTTGAAGGAGCTGCGCACGCTGGGGAAAGGATCTCCAGCAGGCAGACTGGCAACGGCTGTGGCAGGTGTTTTCCCGACACAGCAGACGCTTTTCACGGATCGCAGAGTTGTGTCGCAAGATTGCCTATGGTGTTAGCAGGGTCCAGGCACCAGGAAGCATCGCCTGCACCTGTGCGATGCGCACCGCCTTTTTAGACGAGATCTTGATTTAGATGATGTTATTCAGGCCGGCTGTGAGGGAGGAGATGAAGACCTTGCAACAACAAGATGCCTCATCCCAAGCCCCGAATGGGATTGGCCCAAGCCCGACCTCACAGCTGAACCGAAATGGAGTGTGTACTCCAGATATGGGGTCCTCGACTCAGGCTTCGTCTGCTTAGATGGCTCGGCCGTCGACCCATAGTTGCTCAGTTTCACGAGGGCAGGATATGGTGTGGTTGCAGTCGACCAGGGAGGCAACATCGAAGGCTCCCTCTATGGCCCTTTGCCTCACCCGCTGCAGATGGCGGGCTGCGGAGAGGTCTACGCGCTGCTCGTGGCTCTCCGTTTTCTTGGGCCGACTGTCACCACCATCGCCACAGATTGCAAACTGGTTCTTGATATCTGGTCCAAGGGCCCACTCCAGGACTTATCCGACGTTTGTTTCAGTGAACTTTGGGTTGGCATTTTCAGGATTGCTGCTGATATTGGTTCCGGAAATGTATCCATGGTGAAAGTGAAGTCACATTTAAGTCGGGCGGCAACTTTATCCAGAGACATCCCGTGCTGGGCCTGGGCTGGCAGCCGCGAGGCCGATCGTCTCGCGCGACTCGGTGCTGAAGCCCAGGTGTCTCTCCCGTATGTCAGACAGCGCTACGAGGTTGTCTCGGCCAGAGTCCTCCAGACTGCTAGTGTCGTTTCGGGTATCATGGACAGTTTGGCAAGCCAAGGTTTCCCAGATGTGACTAAGAACGTGCCGTTCGACCCAAACCGGCGGTTTTGCAACTCGTCCCAGAACCCCGAGGCCATTTACTGATGCGTGTAGGCAAGTCGTATGCATGCACTAGGTGTGGGGACAGGGGCAAGTCTAGGGTTTCGATTTGCATGACCCCCTGCCGTGGCCTACCCCGCACCGTCCGCACCTCCCACCCTTCCCATAGAATGTGGGTCGGGGGAGGTCGGGTGGCCTACTGCTCCAAGTGTGGAGCCTTCGGATCCGAGCGTTCCAGATTTCTTCGGGAGGAGTGCCACGGTGGGCCCAGAAATCGGGACGCTGCCAACTCTTGAGGCTCTTGAAGTCGGGTGTTGGCCCGTCGACTGGAGCCCACTTCGGCGGGAGCTTTCCCGTCTCCCACCTCCTGGCTGTGCCGCCGCCGCTGTCAAATCCATCGCAGCCGCCGTGAGCACTGCAGGAGGTAATTCATTTTCTTTCTTTTCTCTCTTCTTTAACGGGCTTGTTGCTGCACCATGTCTCTGTATAGGCGGTAACTTGTTCTCTTCGTAGAAGGTCGCAGAAGGAGGAGGAACTCCCCATCCTCCCTTCTTCCCCGTCCTACCTATGGCAGATGTGGTCGGAGATCAGCCCATCACGTTCGTGTTCGCTCGAAGTGCAACCTCGAGCAATTACAGGCTTCTCGGTCAATCCGCTGTCCAAGCCTGACTACCCCTTCCAAGCCTCCTGGCCAACGATGGTCAGGGCAGTCCTTCCTAGAAGGCATGACAGCTAGACCTCGGCACCATGATTACTCTCAAGTGTACAGTTGTTGCCACCAGTGTAAGCTCACTGGGGTTCTAGCGGAGCGTGGTCAAACGCGCACTCAAACCAGACCTGTGCCTCCTGTTACTGCCAAACGTACAGCCGGTGTAGCTGTCGTGCGCTCCTGATCGGTCGAGGGGAACGCTGTCATACGCGTCTCTGAGCTCAGCCACCGTGCCTTGTGCACGGTGAGGCGTGAAAGAATGCCAAAGGCTGCCTGGTAGGGTTTCCGTAGTCTTGTAGGGCCCCCGCCTTCAGACGCGTTCCCTGCATGCATCGCCCCCCTTCCCGAGGCCACGATATCCCGGTGAAAAAGCACGATTGATACGCGTCCAGAGCTTCAAAGACGGTCCATGCAGGCAACCAAAAACACTAAGATTGCCAAAGATGCCTCAAAGTCTGCCCAAGATGGCCACAAGGCGGTTAAAGATGGCTCTAAGACGGCCCGAATAAGCCTCCGAGAAGGCCAAATCGGGTCACAAGAGAACCTCCAACAGGGTCTGAACAAGCCCAAACCACTGACTCACATTCGGTCTTGTTTGACTGATGTTCGCACTCTCGCCTTTGCAGGCTTGGGTGAGCTCAAGACGGCCCAGGAAGCCTCCACGATGGCCCTAAGACGGCCCAAAGGGCCCCCAAGAGGGCCCTAAGATTCGGCGGCGAGCGAGGGGGGGACGCGAGAAGGGGCGTGCCTTCTCAGAAGGCTTCTGAGATGTCTTATGAGCCTCCCCCGAAGACGCAGAAGGAGGCCGTCTGAGAAGCCCCGCTGCCTTCCGAGAGGGCCTTCTCCTTCTCACTTCCCCGCCTCGCTCGCCGCCGACAAGAGGCCCCCAAGAGGGTCCCAAGATTGCCCAAGAGGTCCTACGATGGCCCAAGCGCCATGCAAGACGGCCTCAACACAGCCCCAAGCCGGCGAACGAGGGCCTCAAGACGGCCAACGACGGCCTCAAGGGAGCCCCAAGCCGGCGAACGAGGGCCCCAAGACGGCCCACGACGACCCATGAGAGCCAGCATGTACGCACACGCATCCTCCTGCCCCGCGGCTCGCCGCACGACCCTCGAAGCCCGAGCGAACCGAACCCGTCGCCCCTTCCCCCATCGCCCCGCTCTCCGGCCAAAGCGCGGGCAACGCTCCCACCCGCCCACCGGGGGTCGCCGCGAGAGCTGCCTGGGGCGACAAGAGCAGCAACCGCACGGCCTCCTCGGCCTCCTCGGCGAAGCCACCGTGCCCTAGTCCTCCCTCTGCCGATCCTATCCCTCCCCGGTACCTTCTTTCGCCCTATTTCCCTGTCCCCCCCCGCATCAGCCACATCCCCCTGCTCCTGTTTCTCCCCATCCTGCTCATCTTTGCCCTCTGCTCCTTCCCACAACCGCTCGCCTCCTCCTGCCCCTTCCTTCCTGCCACGCCTCCCATCTCCTTCTCGTTGTCGTCGTCATCGTCGTCGTCGTCGGGAACTCCTTCTCCTCCTCCTCCTCCTCCTCCTCCTCCTCCTCCTCCTGTTCCACGTCCCCATCTTCCTACTGCACTCCTCCCCACCCACTGTCATTATCTGTCTTGTTTCCCCTCGTCTTCCTGGCCAGGATTGCTCGAGTAATGTTTCAACCCTCTGTGAATCCCGCTGGACTTGAAGAGCTGACACCCGCACACGACTTGCACGCTTTGGCCATCGATGTGCGAGTGTGGTGCCCCACCCCGTCCCCGGCGTCAATGTTAGGTCGGGCATGTCCTCCTGCGGGCGGATTTTGAGGGAAACATAAACATGGGAAACAAACAACTAGAAACATCGTCCCCAGACTATGTTGTTGGCAATTCTTTAAAAACAAATCCTCCGGTAGAGGGAACCGCCCGACTTAACGCCAATGCCAAACAGATAAGGATTGCCCCATAAGTACTTGAACACCTGGCGTCGCGGGCGCCATCGCGGCAGAGAACTGCGAGCCCCGGCAGGGAAATACAGAAGTCCAGGCCCTCCCACGCAAACCAGAGAGCTGTCGTGCCTTCCTCGCCCTAGCTCGGCAGGTGCACAACATGCGAGGCAGCCGAGACATAAAAAATCCGAGTCCACGGGCACATAACCTTGGCCTCGGCAGTCGCCGAAGAGGAGGAGGAGGAGGAGGAGGAGGAGGAGGAGGAGGAGGAGACCACGAGGAGGAGGAGGCCACGAGGAGGAGGGGGAGGAGGAGGAGGCCACGAGGAGGAGGAGACCACGAGGCGGAGGAGGCCACGAGGAGGAGGAGGAGGAGGAGGAGGAGGCCTCCTGGCCTTGGCCTGGCGACGAGGGCAGCCGTCGCGGTGCGGACACCGGGCCGCGACCTGCACCGAGGTCGCCCTGGCATTGGCCAGCCGCCGCGACCGAGCGGGGGCAGCAGAGCGGGCCACGCGCAGGGGCGGGCCCGAATGCAAGAGGCCGCAGAGCGCGGGCGCTGGCGCTCCGGGCGCGCGGTGCGGCAGCAGCGGCCTGCGTGCCTGGATGTGCGCCCCCCCCGCGTTCTGAGGTCGGGCATGTCCTCCTGCGGGCGGATCTGTTGGGCGGAACACCGAACACCGTCAAGCAATATTCAAACATGGTCAGAGATGCTGGGACAGTCGTTTTCACAGATTTTCTCATCCATTTTGAAGCTTTCTCCGGTAGAGGGGCATTCCCGACTTAACCCCGTGCGCCCCCCCCCCCCCCCTCCAGGGTCCTTCGGGCGGAGGGTGCTTTCGACGTGTAGCCGAGCAACATGCGGAGTGCTCGCATCGTTGGCGGCATGCCGTGTGCTCGCATCACTGGCAAGAAGGTCTCACGATGCACGAGTCCACGCACTCCGCGGAGCGGCTGAGCGAAATGATCGGAATCAATTCCTTGGCGAACTCCAGCGACAGCAGGCCTCGGCCTGTGTCTGGGTGCCTGACTGCCTCGGCGGCTGGGCAGCGCCAGAGGAGGTGCCTAGGGGGCCCTGGCGCGGCAGACATTGCCGCCCCAGTCCTCGATACAATTGAGGTTGGCCCTGGCGCGGCAGACATTGCCGCCCCAGTCCTCGATACAATTGAGGTTGTGGAGGAGGTCATAGAAGAGGAAGAAGAAGAATAAGAAGAAGAATAAGAAGAAGAAGAAGAAGAAGACAAATAAACAACAACATGAACTTAGATTTTTCACGCGCCAGGGGGGGCCCAGCGCGGATCCAAGAAATCCTCGCAGAGCTCCGAAAAATCTATGTGTATGCAGTTTTTTTCGTCTCCGAGTACAGGCCAACCTGCGTCACCCCGAAGCAAACGCTTCCAACACCAGCTGTAGTCCAGGCCGCATATCGTAGCTGAACAGACCCTCCCGGACGGCGGACAGCAGTTCTGCGGAGACCAGAATTCCACCGCGCCGTGCCCTCTGACGCCTTCGTTTCGCCAGCCTTCCCGGCCCGAGAGGCCGTCCCCTCCCCGGAGCCGAGTGGACCTGCGCCGAGAAGCGCGGGCCCGCTCGGAGTGCCCCCCCCCTTGTCCTCGAAGCCTCGCGCAAACAAGCAAGCAAACAACGGGAGCGCACCGCGCCGCACGTGAGCCGGCGGCGGCCAGCGCGCCGCCCTTTCAGACGGGCGCGCCCCGGGAGGCTCGCACGCGCTGGCCGGTGGGCCTCGACTGGGGACCACCGTGCCCTTCCTCCCTGTCCCCTCCTCCCCTTCCTCCGCGAGCGCCTGTTCATGGCGTTGCGTGTTGGCTTAGTTTCACAGAGATTTTGTGCACATGCCCCTATGAAATGCCCACCAAATTGGCAAAACAAATGCGCTAAGCATCGTCCCCAAACTATATATTTCTATACTACCTCTGAATCTCCCTCCTGCAACGGGACATGCTCGACTTGAGCTCAGCTTGATTTGTTTGTTCTTGCTATTGTCAGGGGGGCGTAAGACCCGGGTACAGGGGACTCGGAAATCCCCGACGAGGTCGTCAAACAAATGACGAAGCCGAGCCTGCATTTTGACGAGGCCTCCCGCTGCAGACATGCCACGAAACTCCTCCTCGTCAAAATCCGAGTCGCGGTCGTCAAAAAACGATGGCGAACCCGAGTCCCGGCAAACCCGGGCCTTACGCTCCCCCGATATTGCTGTGTCTTGTTCCTTTCTTCGCGAGCTTCCCGGAGCAGGGAAGGGCGCGGCGGGGCTCCAGGCCCGCGCCGCCGGGGCCGCCGGGCGCGGCGGCCGCGGCTGCCGCGGCGGCCGCCGCGGCGGCCGCGGCGGCGGGCAGCTCCCGCAGCGTGAGCAGCCTGGGGCGCAAGAGGGGCCTCCCAGGATTCGGGGGGAATGAAAGGGAGGGGTGGCAGAGGGCAGGGTTTGAGAATCAGCTCGCGCAGCTGATTTGCCCGGCGCCTCCCGGCGCCAGGAGGCGCCCATGTGTCGAGGAATGAGCCCGGTGGCGGGGCCGAAACCAGCTGCATGCAGCAGAGTTCGTAACCCCCCCCTTTCCCTATCCCCCCCCCTTTTTCGTTCGGCCCGAAGAATGGGCGCCGAGCGGATGCGGTCGGAAAAAACGCGCCGCATCGCCGATGCATCGGTGGCTCAAGGGCCGACCGCCTGGGCAGTCCCACCACACGGAAAGGTCTCAGAGCCCAGCACTGTTCTAAGTGCGATGTCAGTGCTGTTTGAACATCAAGCTGGTGTGTTAAGACAAAACAGCCCAGCAAGAAAGGTTCTGAGAACATTTCGTGCGCTGTCCATACGAGGTTCTCCAAATAGAGATAGTCAAACAATACGCCAAGAGAGTCAAACAAATAATAGAATAATCGTCCCCTGACTATTTTGTTGACCATGTTTTAATATCCCTCCTGTGGAGGGACACGCCCGACTCGATCCTAATTCTCAGCCTCTCCTCCGCGGGCCTCGCGAGGGTCGGCAAAAGAACGACCCTGGGCCAGGAGCTGGTCCCGGGAGAGCGGTGGAGAGGTCGGGGGCCCGAGTCTCGAGCAAACCGAGGCTTAGGTCGGGCGTGTCCCCCTACAGGCAGATTCTGGACGAAAAACAAAACATAGTCAAAACATATTCCAAAATGATAACGGATATTCAAAAGATCGTATTTGTTTGACTCTTTTTCAATATCACCCCTGCAGAGGGTCAGGCCCGACTTAAACCTTAAACCGAGGCGCCGAATGTCTGGGGCCGATGCATCGTCAATGCGCCGGCGATGCGCCGCTGGCGCCGGCGATGCACCGGCGCCGCCGGCGTGGAGAACACATTGAGCTCCACATCGATCCGCATCGCCGATGCATCGGCGATGCGGCGGAAGCCTCCGACCACATCTGCTCCGACCCCATCTGAGGCCCAGGTGACGGTGGGGGGGTCACGAGCGACGAACCACGATTCGAGGACAAGGCTTTGGTTTGGTGGTCTCGGGGGTCGGGGGGCGGCCTTCGGGATCCAGGGCCGTCGAGGCGAGATCTGGGGAGAGAAGCGCGTGCCCTGATGTGGATCCCGAAAGGAGTCTGCGGACCGATTCTGAGCGGATCGAACGTGTCAATAGCCATGCTTGGGCCCGAATTAACAAGAAGAAGACAAAGAAAATCAACAAAAAAACACATAAACATAGTCTTTTGGCGCTCCGCGCGAATTTCTTGGATTCGCGCTGGAACCCCCTCCCTGGCGTGCGGAGCGCGCAGCGGCGGCTCCGGAGGCGCCGCCGGGGGGGGCCCAGGCGCGAGTCCAAGAAATCCGCGCGGAGCGCCAATAGTATGTGTGTGTTTTTTCTTCTTCGATACACCCCATCTTCCTGAGTCATTTTCGGAGCCGGTCGATCTGTGAGGGCCCCGGCGCCCGAAAACAGGCTGCAACGCCGGGCTCGAAAAGATCGAGGCGCCAGGATCTCAGGGTGATGCGCGCCCAGCATGCCCTCGCGGTCTGGATGCCAGGGCGCGGTCCCGTGGTATGCCGTTTTGCATGGCTGCGTCGTGCGCGGAACTCGGGCGGGTGGTTATTGGGGGGTGACCCCAGGGGGTGGTGAAGAAAATTGCCCAAAAGGGGTACTCTAGGGTCCCTTTTGGGCACCAGCCGGCGCCCATGAGGGACCCAAAAGGGCCTCTGTAGGCGACCTAAAAGGCCCCTTTAGGGCCCTCTTCTTCTTTTCTTTTTGAGTTGATGAACGATGCGATATGCTCACATCCATGCCTGCCCACTGCCACTAAGCATCCAATACCATTGCGAAGAAGACGTCTGTAAACCACTCTAAAGCCAGCGTCTCGGCCAGAAAGAAGATGTTACCACTGCGGAGTCTAAAATCAAAGCTCAAACGAAATCTTGCACTTGCGACATCCCGAACTGGAATTAGTACGGGATGTAATCCCTGCTAAATCTCAGTCGCCATCTCAGACCAGATTCTGCAGATGCCCAGCACCAAACAAAACCTCGCACTAAATACCGCTGTGAGGGTCAAACGAGGTCTCGCCTCTGCTAAATCTCAAACGGCATCTTCAAACACATCCTGGCCCTGCCAAGCCCCAAACGAAATATGGAACAGCATCTCGGCCAACCGCGGTATCAAACGTACATTCCCCCCACGCACCCGGTGATTGCAACATGCTTGCCCAACTTGGCCCCCCCATAACCAAAGAGAGGGCCCAAACAGCTTCCGAAGGGGCCCCAGCAAAAAGCCCACGAGGGCCTCCAAACGGGCCAAGAGGCCCCCCCAAACAACCCAGGAGGTCACCCAAAAGGCCCAAAGGGGGCCACCAAGACAGCCCGAGAAGGCTCCCGAAAGGCCCCAAGAGGAGGCCCAAGAGGGAGAAGTCGAGCGGCCTCGGGCGCCTTTCCCGACGAGAATGCATCGTCGAAGACCCCCAGCGCGACCCCACCAGGCCCCCAGACGCACCCAAGGCGCCCCCCCATAGGCCATACGTGAGATCCCAATGGTCCCCCCAAGAGGTACCCCATGGGCCCCCCCTAAAAATCACAAAAGGCTCCAAAGCGGCCATGGGACGCTCCCACAGGGCCCACATGAAGCCCCGGAGGAGCCCCCACTTGACCGCCCCAAAAAAGCGGAGAGAGGAGACGGAAGGGAAGGAGGACGAGGGGGAGGAGGAGCGAGGAAGAAAGACGAGGAGAACGAGAACACAAAACATGCCGTAGCACGTCTGGACTCCCTTTAGATCCCGCTCAAACACGGTTCGGTGCATCGTTTGTCGGCTCCGAAGGGCCCAATCAATCTCTTTGCTTAGGTCGGGCATGTCCTCCTGCAGGGGGATTTTCGATGAAAAATCCAACATGCTCAAACATTATTCAAACATGATTTTAAACAATCGCCCCCAGACTGGTTTTTGCCTATTTTGGAACTTTCCTCCTGTAGCGGGACAGGCCCGACTCGAATCTGTGCACCGAGCCCTGCCTGGGTCGAGAGCATCGACGACGTCTCGCGAGACGCCCACGCGGTGCGAACCTCCCGCGGAGAGTCCGCAGGGGAGGGCGCCGCCCCGGAGGCGCTCCGGCCTCAGCCGCACGCACGACGGGTGCGCCTCCGCGGCCCCGCGCAGCAGGCCGGCGGCAGCCTTCCCGCGCGCCACGGAGGGGGGCGGGAGCCGGCGCCGCGACCGTCGCCGGCGTCCACTCCTCCAAAGCCTCTCATCCGTCTGCTCCTCCTCCGTCCCTCTCCTCCTCCTCCTCCTCCTCCTCCTCCTCCTCCTCCTCCTCCTGCACCCGTCCCCCTCCGCCTGCATGTCTCGGCCCCTCCTGCATCCCTCTCCTCCTCCTCCTGCATCGCCCTCCTCCTCCATCCCTCTGCTCCTCCTCCATCCATCCCTCTCCTCCTCCTCCATCCCTCTCCTCCTCCTGCATCTCTCTCTCTCCTCCTCCTCCTCCTCCTCCTCCTCCTCCTCCTCCTCCTCCATCCCTGTGCTTCTTCTCCATCTCTCTCCTCCTCCTCCTCCTCCTCCTCCTCCTTCTGCATAGCCCACCACCTCCATCCCTCTGCTCCTCCTGAATCCCTCTCCTGTTCCTTGTGCATCCCCCCTCCTCCTCATCATCCATCCATCCATCCATCCATCCATCCATCCATCCATCCATCCATCCATCCATCCATCCATCCATCCATCCATCCATCCATCCATCCATCCATCCATCTCCTCCTCCTCGTCCTTCTGCTCCTTCCCTCCCTCCTCGACAGGACTCTTACGTGGAGCGGGGCTTCTGGCGCGCCGTGCGGCGACTAGCGCGTGCTGGCCGCGGAGCTCGTCGCGCCCCTATGAGCCTAGTCCAGTGTGGACCTGTCGACGCTCGTGGATGCTGAGCTCGCCATGCCTGGGCGCGAGGTGGCAGTGTCGAGAGTCAGGGCCCACCTTGACCGCCAGACGGTCCGTCTGGATGGCGCTGCGAACTGGCTCCTCTTCCTCGGCAACGAGCTAGCGGACGCCCTCGCTGGTGGGGCGGCACCGCGGGCGCAGCTCCCTGACGAAGCGTCGCGCGGTCGTCCTTGGCGCAGAGGCAGCTGGGCGCCGTCACGCTGGATGCTGTCCACGGGACGCGCAGCGCGCGCCGCCCGACGTGCCGCAACGCCGCCGCTCCACTCGGACGGCCTGGTCAGTCCGCGCCGATCGCGCGCAGGCAGCCTCCGCCCACGGCGTGCAAGTCGGTCCGGCCGGGATGGATTGCACCTGCTGCGGCGCTACGTGCGGGCTGCAACCCTTTACGTACGGCACCCCGGATCAACGTGCCGCGGGCAAGCAACCCGCGTGGCCCGGCGACGTTAGGTGCCGTGAGCCTGTCGAGCCAGCAGTTCGGCAGCGCAGGTGCGCAGAAAGTCGAGGCCCTGGGGAAAGGCTTGCTTCCTGGGCACTCGGCTGCCGCACGAGCCTTCAACAGAAAGAAGGTCGCTGCGGCTGTGCCTGCTGGGACGGCAGCGTTCGTTCCAGCGTGGATGGAGGTGAGTCAGGCTACAGCAGGGGTCTGACCACAAGAAACCTCCCACAAGAAACACAACCCTGAGACCCCAGGGCGTCCATCGATGTTTGGTGCGGGAACGTCACGCTTCCCATGGCAAGACCATCGAAACCCAAGAAACCCGGGGGCACACAAGAGGCACGCAGGGTGCTTCTTGGTATGGGCCTCCACTGTACAGCCTGGCCCCCCCGGCGGTGACCAGGGCGGAGCGGCGGGCGCCTCGGTTTCCCGCCCTCCCGCGTGTCGGGGCTGGGCCTCCGTGCGCGCTGGTCGCCCCTGGAGCGCGCTCCGGAGGCGCGCTCCAGAGCAGCGGAGGGGCCCCCCCCGCTGCTCCGCCAGCGGGCCTAGGCATGCAGCCTTCCAGGGCGGGGGTCCCCCACCCACAGAGCAGCGCACCACACCACCACTCCTCCACAAGACTCAAGACTGGTAGCATAGGGGCTCGATCCAGAACGCCACCATCCGTCCTCCTCCTCCTCCTCCTCATCCTCCTCCTCCTCCTCCTCCTCCTAATCATCATCATCAGCATCATCATCATCCTTCCCCTTCCTCTCACACCCTTCTCCTCCCTCCGAGCAAGGACACAGGAAACCTCGACGAGGCTCACGCGTTTGGGAATCTTTTCTGGATGAAGTGGATGCTCTGTTGTACGGGCTCCTCCGTCGTCGCTAGACTTTGGTTTCCATACGAAACTTCAGGGCAGCTTTTCCATTGCATGCGATTACACGTCCTGGATCGGAGCCACGCGTCTGGACATCATGTTTGGATGGCTTGCTAGCTGCTCATGTGCGGCCTCCACGAGGCACTTCAGACGCCTCTTTTAGGCTTCGGTACTGGATGAAATCCGCCGGCCCCCTTGTGGGGCCACCAGGCTGTAGGCCGGATGTTCGCAGTTTCCTGTACCTGCAGCTTCCAGTTTCCACTGTTACAGTTCTGCTTCTTGCTGCTTACTGTTTCTTGTTACAGTTCTGCTTCTTGCTGCTAACTGTTCCATGTTGACCGCGCGAGGGGCGAGACCCAAAACGGGCATGTTTACCACGGCCAAAACGTATTGTCTGAACTGCTGGGGTGGGTAAAAAATTACATTCCTCACGCAGATCGGCGGGGTCAGGGTGCAAAAACACATGGGGGTTGCCACCTTTCTGAAATTCGTCGGCACCCCTCACGCAGATCGGCGGGGTCAGAGTCCAAAATCTCATGGGGGTTGCCACCTTTCTGAAATTCGGTGGCACCCCTCGCGCAGATAGCGGGGTCAGGGTCCAAAAACACACACGGGGGTTGCCACAGTTCTGAAATTCGGTGGCACCCCTCACGCAGATCGGCAGCATCAGGGTCCAAAAACACATGGGATTCGTCACATCTTTGAAATTCGGTGGCACCCCTCACGCATGTCGGCAGGGTCAGGGTCCGAAAACACACACGGGGGTTGCCACATTTCTGACATATCTTGTCGCCCCTCACGCAGATCGGCGGGGTCAGAGGTGCAAAAACACGAGAGATGTTCAACTGTTCCAGAATTTCTTCGCACCCCTCACGCAGATCGGCGGGGTCAGGATGCAAAAACCCAAGGGATGTGCAACTTTTATGAAATTTGGTGGCACCCCTCACGCAGATCGGCGGGGTCAGGGTCCAAAAACACATGGGATTCGCCACATGTTTGAAATTCGGTGGCACCCCTCACGCAGATCGGCGGGGTCAGGGCTCAAAAACACTGGAGGATTTGCCACATTCGTGAAATTCGGCGGCACCCCTCACACAGATCGGCAGCATCAGGGTCCAAAAATACATGGTATTTGCCACATTTCTGAAATTCGGCGGCATCCCTCACGCAGATCCACGTGGTCAGGGTCCAAAAACACAAGGGATTTGCCACATGTTTGAAATCCGGCGGCACCCCTCACGCAGATCCCGTTGGGTCAGGGTCGAAAAACAAACAGGTCCCGACACTGCTTCACGGCGAAGCCAAAGCCTCATGACTTCGATCTTCCATGGCCCATTCTCCGAGAGAGGGGGCCGGCGGCAGGGGCGAAGCCCTTACGGATGTAAGCTCTGCTGTGCGAGCTCCACCGTCGTCGGTGGACTTCGCCGTTCCACACATCCTGCAACACGGCTGTTCCGCTGCAAACCATTGCACATCCTTGATCAGGGCCACATGCGGGCATCGTTTCTGGATGGCTTTCTGGCTCCTCATATGCGGCGGGCGCGCGTCTCCCATTGCAACTCGCATGGGAATGGGTTATGGAGGAAATGGATGGTAAACGGACCATTTTTTCGTCAGAGAAATTCGGCTTCCCCGCATATCGTATTGGGCGAATGCTCCACTGCATACTCTCAAAGGTCGGCGCAGCACCCTTTGGAATCGTTTCTGCATGGCTTGCTGGCTGCGCATGTGCGGCCTCCACGATGCACTTCAGACGCGTCTCCTAGGCTTTGGTACTGGATGGCATGGAAACTCTGCTGTATGAGCTCCACCGTCGTCGGTTCTTTTTGGTGTTCGACACATCCTGCAGAGCAGGCGTTCCATTGCACAGTATCACGCGAAATCTGTCTTGGATCATGGCAGCACGCCGCGGTATCGCTTCTGGATGGCTTACTGGCTGTTCAAGAGAGGCCTTCACGGGATCCCTATGACAACAAGTCAAGTAACTTACGCCACGAAGCAAATTTACACAGACACCCTCTGGCGGATGTAGCATGCAACTTTAGGGATGGCGGCGGTGCATAGCGTCGCTGGATACCAATCGTGATTTAGACACCGCCACCCTCCCCCGGAGGCCCAAGAACATCCATTGGAGGGTGTCGGTGTATAGTGTTGTGGCGGATGAATTTCTGTGGATGACATGAGTGTCTGCTGCATGGGCTCTTCGCTCTTCCGAACGGTCCGCATTTGCATGCGTCCTGCTCGGCGCCCCCCACCTTTCACAACACACATATCCGATAAAAGGGCCACGAAGGCATTCGCGGAACCCCTGCGTGGCGCCTGCGAACTCACCAGAGAAAATTGAGGTTGTTTGTTTGGCACGCGGGAGCACGATGCGAGTCGGACGCCGGGCAATCAGGGGCAAGCTATGCCACCTGCGAAAGAACAAAAACAAGGCAGCGAGCACTCTGGGGCGAGGCGGAACTCAGCGCGAAGCGTCAAGGATTGTTCCGATGAGCGGCACCTGAACCTCTCGACGCTTGACGTGTTTTCGGCCCGACCGATATTTCTGACAGTCCCAAGGCCGGGTCGGGGCCCCCAGAAGCCACACACCTGCAAACCCCTCCGTGCAACTCTGTTCACGGCGCGACGAGTTATTTGGCGGTCGTTCGGTACGATCGGGGCACACCCTGAACGCTCTCGACGAGGCGAAGCTGCGGGCGAGAAGTGAGGGGGGTGGAGTCGAGGGAACCCTATTCGGGCCCTCAAGGCCTCCTTTTGGGCCCTGAAGGGTCCATCTCGAGGCCCCAAATGGCCCGTTCTCTGTAGCGATTCGCTGCCCCCCATGTACCGCCCCCCAAGTTATCGCCGCGCAAGTCGTCGGCGACAACGGCGGCACCGGCTGCCGCGACGATGACGACGCCGGCGTCGACGATCTCGCCGTCGACGAAGACATTGCGGATGACTGCGATGTCGGCGATGTCGTCGTCGACGCCGATGTCGTCGTACTACGAAGACGTCGACATAGACCACGACGTCGTCGGCGACGGCGGCGGCACCGTCCGCCGCGATGACGACGGCAACACCGACGGCGACGGCGGTGGAGCACGCCTCGCGCAGGCGCGTCGCGAGGGGCGGCTCCTCGCCAGCGCTCCGCCGCTCGACGGCCTGCGGGGAGCAGGGGAGGCCTGAACACCTGCAGCTCCGGCTGTGTCTTGCGGCGCGGAATTCTTCCTCGTCGGCGTCGTCGTCGTCGTCGTCCTCCTCCTCCTCCTCCTCCTCCTCCTCCTCCTCCTCCCCCTCCTCCTGCGAAGGCCGCGGCGCGGGTCCCTTTGCCGCCGCGCCCGCGCTTGCGCCCGCTCTGAGCTCCAGGAGCATCGCGACGACACCTCCCGAGCGGGGTGCGGGCAAGCCCGGACCCCGCTCGGCTAGTCGCCCAGCTCCTCCAGCTCAGTCAGCGAGCGGCGCCCCGGCGCAGCCCGGCGCCGCAGCAGCCCGCCGCGGCAGCCCGCAGCTCGGCGGCCCGGCCGGCGCCGTCCACCCCCCGCCGCTGGGCGCGCCGCTTCCGCCGCGCTGGCGCGGGGCGCGCGCCGCGCCGCCGGGCGCCGCCGCGGCCGCCGCCGCCGCGCGGCGGTTGCCGCCGGTGCCGCCGCGCGCCTCCAGCCCCGCCCCGGGCAGCCGCCGCCGCCGCCGCGCGCGTCTGCCAGAGCGCCGGCTCCGTCCGCCCAGCGGCCGCGCCCAGCTGCAGCGCCGCCCCCGCAGCCGCGCCGCGCCCGCGCAGCCCGCCGCCGCTGCCCAGCGCGCCGCGCCCGCCGCAGCGCCGCCGCCGCCCGCCGCCCGCCCCCTCCTCCTCCTCCCCTCCTCCTCCTCCCCCTCCTCCTCCCCTCCTCCTCCCCCTCCTCCTCCTACTACGACTACTCCTCCTCCCTCGTACTGCTTGCTCTTCTTCCCTCATCCTCTCTCATCCTCCTCTCCCTCCTCCTCCTTTCCTCTTCCTCCTCCTCCTCTCCCTCCTCCTCCTCCTCCTCCTCCTCCTCCTCCTCCTCCTCCTCCTCCTCCTCCTCGTCCTCGCCCTCGTCCTCGCCTTGTCCTCCTCCTCCTCCTCCTCCTCCTCCTCCTCCTCCTCCTCCTCTCCTCCTCCTCCTCCTCCTCCCTCCTCCTCCTCCTCCTCCTCCTCCTCCTCCTCCTCCTCCTCCCGCTTCCTGCGCCGGCCGCGTGTTTGCTGCTCGTGTTCGGGCCTCAGCACCTTCACGGATCCATCCGGCTCGAACAATGCAGCAGAAAGATCTACTCCCGCCATCCCTTATTCCATCCCTCCCTCCCTCCCTCCCTCCCTCCTCCAGCAGGAGGGGGGGGAAGAGGCTATCGGGACCCGGGACCTTCCGCTCAGGGGCGACGTTCGGGGGGGCCTGGCTCAAGGGGGAAAGACCGACCCAGAATCGGCAATACATCGCCGATAGATTGACGATGGGCCCTCGACGTCAAGCCCACACGGTCCTGGCCCATGCGTTCCCCCCTGATCCGATCCCTCATAGCGACAAACGGCGTTGCCGAAACTCGGCCTCGTGGATCTTCGCCGGGCACCAGGGCCGTCAAAAACGACTTGGGATGAGGGGTCCACGCTGTGAACCACAGGGGGTCCACGCTTTGAACCTGATCGCGAAGTCGGGGGGCTGTGTACCTGGCAGCGCGGATGCCGCTGAACGTTCGACCCCAACACGCCTTGGAACTCGGAATGGAATCTACCTGCGCCAATTCGGCAAGGTCACCGCGGTGCCAGAGATGGCCACCGCACGGTGTCCACACTGGGGCCCCATATGAGAAATCACCTAGCGGCGCGAGCAAACGTCATTTGTTTCTTGGGTTGGGCGCGACCCAACATTCGAGGGCAATGCCCAATCATAGCTCAGTGGTGGGCCGCGCAGAATTAATGCAGATATAAGCCCAAGACGTGAACAGACCACTCATAAGGTTTGAGCCTTACCGTCCAAGAGAGTCCTGGAGCGTCCTGGGACGCTTGATCCTCCTGCCCAAATCTTCAAGAATGTGATCGTGTCAATCCCGATGTTGTTCTTCGGTCTCGACCTCTTGGCCGCGCACTGGAAGAACGCCCGGTCTCCCAACTCATCTTGCGCTGGGTCACCATTGAAGGACCAGGCCTTGAGCATCGATGCTGAGGCAGGCCACATCCCCTGCTCCAGGCTACATCGATACTCGACATAGTCGGTAGTTTCAACAATCTCCTGGGGCAGCCCATGAATTGCTGCCGTTCAGTGACATCGATTGTTTCAGCGAGAGCTGCAGTTCTGGGTCAAAGCAGCTGCAACGTCCGATGCCCCAGCGTGGCCATTTCTTCGCGCCGCGCTTTGTCGCTCTCGCTGACCGCGCCGCGGGTCAGAAAAGGGTACAGTCGAGACACTGCCAGAAGGAACGCTTAACACAGGAACAGTCGAGGCACTGCCAAAAGGAGGGCTAAATGAGGAACGAAGGGGCTTTTCTGGCCACGGCGACCTCGTCCACGAATGGGTTCCCCGACCTCGACCCAAGGCGCGGCCGCAGACTCGAGCCCCTCCTGAGCCCAGAGTGGTCCGTGCAGTGCGGGCGCGGCCGCAGGACACCCCCGCAGGAAGCCCAACACTGGAAAAGCCCGCGCGCAGGGCGCACCCGGAGGGGAGAGGAGGAGGAGGAGGAGGAGGAGGAGGAGGAGGAGGAGGAGGAGGAGGAGGAGGAGGAGGAGGAGGAGGAAGGAGGGAGGAGGAGGAGGAGGGAGGAGGAGAGAGGAGGAGGAGGAGGAGGAGGAGGAGGAGGAGGAGGAGGAGGAGACCCAGAGCACACCGGCCCCGAACGCGGCAGCTTCTCCGACGGCCGCGAGAAGGCACCGCGCAGCGCGCAGAGCAAAGAAGCCCAGGGCATCCTGACGAAAAACAGATTTGTAGGAAGAGAAATCATCATAAGCGTAAACTTGTGGCGCTCCGCGCGGATCTCTTGGATCTGCACTGGACCCCCCCTCCCTGGCGCGCGGAGCGCGCCAAGGGCGGCGCCAGAGACGCCGCTGTGGGGGCCCAGCGCGGATCCAAGAAATCCGCGCTCCTGTTCGAAGATGGTCTCTTGATACGCGTGCCCACTATGTGTCAGGATCTCGGTGTCCCGGCATCTATCACGATCCATCGGTTCAGTAATCCTCGCCTCCGCAATCGCCATGGAGACGCTCAGGGGCCAGATCGCTGAGCTGAAGGATCTTAAGGAGTCAACGGCGTACAGTGGAGGCCCGACCACAAGAAACCTTCCGCAATAACCCCAAACCTGAGACCCCAGGACGTGCATCGATGTTTGGAATGGCAACGAGACGCTTTCCATCGCAAAACCATCGGAACCTAAGAAACCCAGGGCACCCTGGAGGCAAGCAGGGTGTTTCTTGGCATGGGCCCCACTGTACATCTGTGTGTCAGGCCTCCGCCGCAGAGCAGCGTCGACCCCTCCTTGCTCGAGGAAATCCCCGCGGGGCCGTGGTGTCCGAGCCGCGCTGCGCCACGGGATGCCCGGTCCACGACGGTGAGGAGGCCCCTCCCGCAGAGCTGTGCCTCCTCCTCCTCCTCCTCCTCCTCCTCATCCTCCTTCTCCTCCTCCCCCTCCTCCTCCTCCCCTCCTGATCCTCCTCCTCCTCCTCCTCCTCCTCCTCCTTCTCCTCCTCCTTCTCCTTCTCCTCCTCCTCATCCTCCTCCTCCTCCTCCTCCCCGTCCTCCTCATCCTCATCCTCCTCCTCCTCCGTGGGGAAGAGGAGCGCCTGCCGCAAAGAGGGAACCCAGACACTACACAAGAATCCACAGTCAACCCGTATAACACGGTTGCGCGGTAAGGATGCAAGGACCTTGGAAGGCCACATCGCCACTTTGCGGGCGGAATGCGGCTTGCGAAAGCCGCCGAGGATGGGCTGGAAGGGATGGAGGCATGGGTAACCCTGGAGAATCGCTCATCCTTCCTATGCGGTTCAACTGTACAGTCAGAGAGTTCTGGAGGTTCTGGACCCCACAACGCGGTACTCACGACCTCGCGCGCCGCCTGCGATACGCATGCCTCTCGCCTGCTGTATTGCACGGGCCGGGCCCAGGCGATACCTGAGCCTCTACAATAAGTGGAGGCCGGTCCATAAGAAACCCAACCCTGAGACCCCAGGACTTTTATCCATTGTTGGTGTGGGAACGTCACGCTCTCCCTCGAAAAACCATCGGAACCCAAGAAACCCAGGGCACCCTGGAGGCAAGCAGGGTGTTTCTTGGTATGGGCCCCCACTGTACCACTGTGTGTTAGGCCTCGGCCGCAGAGCAGCGTCGACCCCCCCCGGCTCGAGGAAATCCCCGCGGAGCCGTGGTGTCCGAGCCGCGCTGCGCCACGGGACGCCCGTGGTGTCCGTTCCACGCTGCGCCGCGGGAGGCCCCTCCCGCAGAGCTGTGCCTCCTCCTCCTCCTCCTCCTCCTCCTCCTCCATCCTCCTCCTCCTCCTCCTCCTCCTCCTCCTCCCCTCCTCATCCTCCTTCTCCTCCTCCCCCTCCTCCCCCCCCTTTCCCCTTCTCCTCCCCTTCTCCTCCCCTTCTCCTCCCCTTCTCCTCCCCTTCTCCTCCCCCTCCTCCTCCTCCTCCTCCTCTTCCTCCTCCTCCTCCTCCTCTTCCTCCTCCTCCTCCGTCTGCATCATGCCACGAACGAGCCAGGATGGGATCGTCGTCGTCGTCGCCTCCAAGATGCACCTCGGCCATCTGAGCCTCGCGCGCCGCGCCCCGCCGTGCGCGATGCGTGGACCTCGTCGCGCCTTCGCGATGCCGCCCTGGCGAAGGACAACTTCCTGGCCCAGGCCGCGACGCGCGACGCGCGACTCTCATCTCGCCCCCGGGGGTGGCTTGGCTGCACAATCCTGAGCTGCACAAGCTGTTATGAGCGCTGTTAACGTCGTCGTCGTCGTCGGCTTCCTCCTCCTCCTCCCCCTCCTCTTCCTCCTCGTCCTCCTCGTCCTCGTCCTCTTCCTCCTCCTCTTCTTCCATGCTTGTCAACACGCGCACCCACGTGCGCATCCACGCGCACACCCGCGCGCGCGCCCTACTCTTCCTCATCTCCCTGCGAGCGCTCCAGAATAGCAAATCGTGTATCGAAATTTGGTGCTGTGTTTGGCCTTTATTGGGCCTGCAAGACTGCCCAGAAGCCAGTGAAAATATCCGGAGACCGACCTCTGACGAACGACGAAAGACGCCAGACGACCCGACGAGAGACGAGCAACGAGAAGCACGCGACGGGCACCGAAGACGCGAAACAAGACGAGACGCCGAGGCGTCCTTAGGGGGAAAACGAACCTACCTCGCTTTTGACCACCCTCGCTTCCAAGAGATACCAAACGATGCCAAACTACGGCCTGCGCTGGTCAGGCCGCTTGACGAGGAGGCGCGTGGTATGACTTGGTTTTGCCTGGAAGCGAATGCGGGGTAGGTAATTCACGCTCTGAGTCCTTTGAGCATGAACCCCACCACCACGCCTGCTTACGCGCCTGCCACGGCACGTTCTCAAAACAGCACGTGCTCTAAGCACAGAACAATGCTCCGCGCATGCATTTTGCACCCAAGCGCAAGGGACCTGAAAATCGGCATGACCAGAAACTGTGATTGTCACGCTCTGAGAACCCCTCCCTTTCCTCCCCCTCCTTTGGATCCTCCTCCTCCTCCTCCCCCTCCTTCTCCTCCTCCTCCGCCCGATGGAACATTTGCCGGCGTGGCACAGGCCCAGGCACCAGCGCGTGGCGTGGACTCGTCGCGGGGCTTGGCCGCGGAGACCGTGCCAGATTTGTGATTGTACAAAGCTCAGCGTTCGGCGTTAAGCGCGCTCCACTGATCGCAAAGTAATTACTCGCACATGTCCTGGATCCGCCGGGGGGGTGTACAATACATCGTAACGAGGCGAGCATATGTTTTTTTGTCGGGCGTTTGCGAGCGGGCACTTCTCGCGAGTAGTGGAAGTCGCTCGGGGATTTCAGCGAGTTCCTTCCTTCCCTCACTCCCACTACGGACCTGCTCCTCCACCTCCTCACCCCCAGGACTCGCCATCGCTGGGACGTCCATTCCCCGTGCATGTTTCGAACCCGTGCGTGTATCTCCTTGCCAAACAAGCTCCCCGATGGTCCTCGCGCAGGAAAAATTCACACGCCAGAGCGATTCCAGGCGAAGGACCTGGCCCGGGCCCGTGGCTGTTCGCAGCACTGCGGCGGCGACGACCACGACGATTAGGTCGGGCACGTCCCCCTACAGAAGAGTTTTGGAGGACAAATCAAAAATACCCACACCAAAAACAAAACTCAAAACGAAGCATCACATGCCAACAAAAACGTCCCCAAACTGTTTTTTGTCGACTATGTTCGAATATCCCTCCTGTACAGGGACACGCCCGACTAGAGACGAGGACGACAAAACAACGACGCCGCCGCCGCGGGCCCGCGCTGCGCCGCAGCCGCGGCGACTCGAGCCTCCAGCACCGCCACGGCGGCCCCGGCGTCGGCGGCGGCTGCCGGGGCCGCGGCGAGCACCGCCAGCGCTGCCCCGGGGCCTGCCGGGGATGAGGGCGGGGGCGGCCGGAGCCGACCGCGCGGGCCGGGGCGCGAAGGCCTGGGCACGCGCGGCGGGGAGCCCGTGCGCGCGTGCCCGCTGCGCGGCAGGGCGCGCGGGGCCGCGGCCAGCCCTCGTGCAGGGGGCCTCGAGGAGGAGGAGGAGGAGGAGGAGGAGGAGGAGGAGGAGGAGGCGGAAGAAGAGGACAAGGAGGAGGAGGCGGAGGAGGAGGGGGAGGCGGAGGCGGAGGAGGCGGAGGAGGAGGGGGGGGAAGGAGGAGGGCTTGCGCAAAGACGCTGGCGGGAGGGTGGGGGGACACGGGCGAACAAACTGCGCACTCCATCGGCCCAGAGATCCAGCGCATGGGAAAATCAGAGTTCACATGCAGTTTCCGCCGCCTTCGGTCTCTGGAAAAACCCTCGCTGGGCCCCCCCAAAGACCGTCGAACAACGAGTCTGGATGAAATGCTGGTCCTGGACTCAGCGGGCCCCGGAGGCGGCAGGGCCGCCATTTGTTCACCGTTGTCAGAAAATGCGTTGGAATGCAAGGAGGTAACATACACAACAACAACAACAACAACAACAATTACTAGCACGTGGGGACACTCCGTTCTCACCAGTGCCAGGGTTTTCATACGACGCCCGCCAATACCCCCACTTTGTGGGGGGGCCGGTTCAAGCTCTACCACATTTCCAAACGACTCTTCGCCACCACCCACACCCAGCTTCCCGCCCTATGACGTTCGGACACTTCACTTCGTGGCATGCGGACGACCGTGGCTACTATTCAGGGCCCCGCGGCCGACGACGACGGCGTGCGCGCGCGAAGAAAAAACGAATGTGTCCCGCATGGTATTATTTGACAGGGATGATGGCCCTGGCAGGTGCGCAACCGTTGTTGCAGAAGTTCGAAAAAGTTGCTCGCAAAAGCCCGTTTGACAGAAATGTTTAAAAAGTGTTGGGTTTCCTACGAATCCGCAAGAGCGCGCGGGATTTTTTTTTTTTGTTTATAAAAAAGCTTTTTGCTGGTTTTATGTTTAAATCGCTACGAAAACTAAGGTTTTGGAAGGATTTC